CAGCAATATCCCTACCCTCTGTCACAAATTCATCTGGGTAGTACTCACTCTAAGTTTATGTGGAAAACGATTATTACATGACTGATTATTCCGCAGTTCGTTTATAACCTGCCATGTTTTATTGCTATTTCCAATAACATTTGCCAGCTTGCCAGAAAAGTAAGACTTCTTAGCAATTTTTAATAATTTTGACAGAGGGCTACAGAGTATTTACAATCATGGAATAGATGCTCTAAACTTTCCACTTCATTTTTACAGATGGAGCACATTGGGGAAGAAAATTTTTGTGGATTCAACTTATAAAGTTTTTCATTGGTATAAAGAATGTTGTGGAGAGTTTTAAATTGAAATTCCCTTGTTTTGCTATCAATGGACATCTTGAGCATCAATTTGTAAAGCCTTTTCCAGTGTAATGGACCAGAGTTTAGGATATCTTCCAATTTATTTTGGCTCACCGGTGCAGCAAAGACTCTGTCTTTAAATTCATTTTTAATCTTTTTCTTTGATAGATCTCCCAATGGAGTTGGTGTTCCAGTTATTTGAAAGCATACTTCAAAAAGATCAGAGATGAGCATTATCTCATTCTGTGCAAATTCCTCAAAATAAACAGATTTACCGCCAATAAGAATATTTTTCTTATTCCAAATAATTTGTTTTTTTCCTCTGTTGATTTTTTTCAGTTTCCAGTGACCATATATCCAAACATTCTGTGACAAACAAGTCTGTAAACTGCACCGGTAATCTATCTGTTTTATAGTTACACTGAAAAATGATGTTACCGCCTATATTTTTTAGTTTCTTTTGCAAAAACAATTTCCAAAGGGTGACTTTGCTGTTTCTTCATAATGTACATGTCTGGTATATTCAAGCCACCCTGGCCCACACCCCCCGTCTTTCTTGCTATTTTATCCCTGCCCTCCCAAAGAAATTCATACATGATTTTATGAACTTCCTGAATTGTATTTTTGTCAATCACTGTTGTATTTAGTATATAAGAAAATTGAGAGATTCCAAGTGTTTTGATTATTTGAACTTTACCGAACTACGACAGTTTCCTGTTTTTCCACGAGTTCAAGACAGTTTTCATATTATTAATTGCTTTAATTACATTTTTTGTCTTGACTTCATAACTGTCATAAGAAAAATATATGCCTACTATTTTGATAGAAGATGTTGGCCACATAACCCCAAATTTTTGCTCTTTTCTACCCCTCCATCTACCCAGGCAAACCCATTCTGTTTTGTCAATATTAATTTTTAATCCAGAGCACTTATGAAATATATTTAGTAAGTCCAATAGCACACCGACTGATTCCTTATTAGATGTAAAGCAGGTCATGTCGTCTGCAAATGCTGCAGTTTTAATTTCTTCCCCCGGAATGGTTATTCCCAAAATATCCTTGTTATCTTTGATGGCGATGAGAAGAGTTTCCAATACCAGGATGAAGAGCATAGGTGATAGTTGGTCCCCCGGTACCGTTCCTTTGACTTTTCCTCTGACCTGCCTGTCTCCCAACCACCCACCCACCCACCCACGGTCGTAGCCTCACCCCCCCCTTCCCAGTTTGAAATAACCTGTACTGATGAAGCCCCTGTCCATGACACAACTCTCCGGGTTAGAGTATAACGTTTTTATCCACTGTTGGAAGTTTTGTCCAAATTTAAATTTTTCAAGCACCTTGAACAGATAGGCCCAACTAACAGTGACAAACGCCTTTTTAAAGTCGATTGCAATAAGTAAGGCTGCTAGGTTGGAATCTTTTGTGTATTGATAATTTTCATCAATCAACCTCACGTAATCACACATGTTACTGCCTTTTACGAATGCTGCCTGTGTTGGACCAATTAATTCTGGCAAGAGTGTTTCAAGCCTTTTAGCTAAGCATTTTGAGGCGATTTTCACATCTACATTCATCAGAGATATCGGTCTCCAGTTTCTTAACATTAACGTTTTTTCGATTAGGGTGATCATGCTTTGTCTCTGCGAGGTTGAGAATTCCCCGTTTTCGAAGGCATAGTTCAATGAGTTAACTAGCAGTTTACCAATCAAAGGCCAAAAAGCTTTATAAAATTTAATTGTAATGCCGTCGTTTCCGGGGCTCTTGTTTTCTTTCATTGATGCCATCATATTGAACACTTCTCCTTGTCCTAATAAACCTTCGCAAATTTCCTGTTTTTCTTTGGTAAGTTGTGGGATCTTTAACTGATCTAGAAAGGTTAGATTATCTAGTTCGCCTAAATTCTCCTCTGCATACAGATTACAGTAGAAACTTTTTATTTCTGCTAGAATTACCCTTGGATCATCCAGTGTTAGATTTTCTCCCTTACTCAATTGTTTAATTTTTGACCTCTTTTTGTTATATTTTTCCATTCCCAGAAAGTATCGATTGTTTTTTTCACCTTTCTTGTACCATTTTGCACGTGATCGTATAATAGAGCCCTCAGTAATATGGTTGTGATAATCCTCTAATTGACCCACTAGTTCTTCTAATTCAGAGTAATTCATTTCTTGGGGATCTTGTGAACATTTTTGTTGTGCTATTTTCACTCGTTTCTCCAACTGCTCAATTCTTTGTTTTCTCTCTTTTGCCTTTTCTTTTCCAAATTTGATTGACATGTGTCTGATTTTATATTTGATCAAGTCCCATAAAAGTCCTTGTTTTGCATTTCCCCTAATTCTGCTACCCATTTTTCCAGATTTTCTTTTACAAATTGTAATATATTTTATCTTTTGCCAGAGAGGAGTTGAATCTCCAATATGATGGGCCATGATTCTGGTGCATGTTTTTGAGTCTTAATACAACTGCTGAGTGATCAGAGCTTAACCCAGGAATTATTTCGATTCTATTGGTAATATTTTGTAGTTTGTCTGATATAATAATATAGTCTAATCAGTAATCTACTTTGCTGAATGAAAGGGTGCCGTCTTCGCCAAGTGTATTGCCGCTTTTTCTCATTCCTAACCCGCCAAATTTCTATCAGGTTGAACTGTTCCTGAATATCTTTCATTATACAAATTGAACTTTTCCATGGCCGAGAATTACTCTGCCGAGTTTGTCATTGCTCATAGACGACTTTACTTACCCGGAAGTAGCGAAACTGGGGTGCAAAACTACTCCTGCTTTGTCATGGCGGAAAATACTAACATGTCAGTTTGTTGATAGTCGATAGAAGGTAATTTTATTTTTGTGATGTCGGTTGGTACACTCAGAAGCACAATATCACGCGTGTGAGTTTACTACCCCCCAAAACAGCTTACATGCGATACGCCGTAACTTTGACTTCCGGGAAAGTCGCTATGAATATTAATATTAATTTGGTTATTTAGTTAGTTGTTTTGTATTGTTATTTTTTTTTTATTTTTATTTTTTTTTACTTTACTCAAGCTCTGTGTTGTGTACGTTCCAAATAAAATATCTTGTATCTTGTACCTTAATTTATGCAATTTATGCAATTGAAGATTATTTCAACCCCCGTAGAGGGCGTTACTCTACGACGTAAACTAAATTCTGATTGGTTGATTTATCGTGACCAAATTTGAACCGAGCGGTCAACGTTACAGAGTTGTGCATAAGCGTTGTGACTGATTTTGATGTCATTTGTGCTTCGAATCGCAATTTATTATAGTTTTGATGTCTTTCTATTATAAAAGAAAATCACTGAGGCATTGAGGACAATTGTTTAAGGTAATTAACTATTATTATTTAGCTAAAATGTACATTGCATTGTGATGTTGGCATGAGAAACATCAGCATGACGATTTATTTGCAGTGGTAGTTGAGGATTTGAGAATATTTTTGCGGATTATAAGGTGGGGAAGGCAGATAATTTGTTTATTTACATGTGAGACTATGGACTCGTTAAGTTTTGTCGTTACAGTTTTACAAGAACGAAAACGTTCTCTTTGTTGCAGACAGACGCTCGGGTGTATTTTTAAAAGGCCTTGACTGAATAGTTAGCTTCATTTTTGCAGCCGGTCAAACCACAGGCGCTCGGTACGTTTCTAAGATAAAAACAGTAGCTTAAAAGGTGAGACATACATAGTCAGTCTCAGATATAGTCACCACCGCCACTAAGAAACAGGAATAAGTAAATCTTTTTAGCTCCTGCTGTCCCAGAAACGTGCCGAGCTCCTGTAAGTCAAATAGAAAAACAAGGAAATGTAACCGCGGTATTTTATATGATGTAACGTCCCAGGGGATTCGAATGCGATTTTGAAAGTACAACGTGCAAGATAACGTCATAATAATCCACGAGAAGTTGCATCTCACACGTACAAAATCGAGGAAAATATTAATTATGTTTTAAAGACTACAAATTTCAGATCAAAAACATACCTACTCAACACATTAACAGTATGACATAGTCTAGTGGAATTTGAACTAATTTGGTATACCGTGATTTCAAAAAAGGGGAACAAAAACAAGTCTTTGTCACGGTACATAAATAGCAATACTCAAACTGTTGTAGACAACATCTTCTAAATTTGGTGATATAAACTACTGGATAAATTGTGATAGGGCAGGGCAGTTGCATGTACCTAGACGCTTGCATTATGGATATTAAGGGGTACTGGTTGCTGCAGTTTAGCAGCTCTTATTGGCCGCTTAAGCTATTTTGATATTACGTTGCGGCCATAGAGCTGCAGATCGCGTCCATTGAGAACCGCACAGTTCGCCGCCCCGGGATCCCGGGGCGCACGCTATTTTTGATGTTATTGAACGATTTCAATGAAATTTAAAACGAATAAAAGTTATCCTTGCAAACACAAACATCTTAGGTATCTACTGACCGAAAATGAAGGACTATTTCTTCTTGAAAAGTATATATTTCTGTGTATAATTAGACCGAACGTAATTTAATCGATTGAACGACGGATTTCAAGATGACCTCTGTCATGTGACCTGATCATATGACAATGACGAAGCATGCGCAGTTGACATTTTAACTGAAAATTGAGAATGGCAGGTTCTTGCATTCATTGTTGAGATGAGTTCCAGAAGAAAGTTAAAGGGTATCGCAGGCAATCCATTGCATCTAGACTTAAAACCTCAGAAACTGTTGACAATGCATTAGTGAATGTTCTAAAGCTGAAACCCATTACCCCGTTGGCTTGTTGTCTCTTTCCGCATAATATTGAGGAGCATTGGTGGTAAAATATACATCATAGTTTTTTTCATACTTTTGCCATACCCTGTTGGTAATATGGCCAATGTGTGTATATTATTTAAAATACAAGTAGTACCTTCTACTTGTTGAGCTTTTAGGTCAAATTAAAAAATATCTTTCAGATTCTGGTCAAAAGACTCAACAATTTTGTCCTTTGTGAATTCCATGCTGTCTGCTGTCTGCTCCTGTCACTTGTAACACTCTTTATCAAGTTACAAGATTATTTTTAGATTTGTCACAATATATAAATAAAACTGCTTGAAAAAAATATTTTTAATAATACATGTACTTTATTTGATTTTTTCAAAAAAAGATGAGTCACTTAATGATGAAATGAAATTAAAATTATAAAAAGCCGTCTGCCGTTGTTTCGTCACATGAAGCGCTGTCCCAGACAGGCGCCGATGGCCGTCTGCTGTAGTCACGTGATTACACTCGTCACTAAAAGAGCCAAGTCACATGATAGAGGTCGGCTTCAAAATGGCGGCGTTCAATCGGAGGTTTCACTTCGGCACAGTTTTAACGTGAAATAGTCTCATTTACACGGGCAAATTTGCTTAAAGCTTGCTGTAATCAGTAACAGATATATTTGTGAGAACATATTTGTCTATTTTTTCCTGCAAGTCAAGGTAATTTTATTACAATCACAATTTTAATGATACAGAACTGGCATATTTAAAAATCTGTGCATTTCTTTAGGGAAGGGAACTGCAGCTCTCTGGTCGCCCCGCAACGTATACCACGACCAAGAGAGCTGCATAAACTGCAGCAAGGGGTACTGGACGTCTCAACCCAAAACAATTTTGACCCGTTTTTTATTGGACAACTCGACCCAGTACCCCAAGACATCTTGACCCACCGTCTCGACCCGATCTCAATAACGTCGTTATTTTTGAATTATCCAGTGCTTGCACATGGAGCCAAGGAACTATGAACAACTATACACAGTCTCTAGGAGTGGGTGTATCGGCTGGTATCTAGTGTAAGAAATAGACAAGGGATGAAGGCTCCAGCGAGCTCATATTTTTGAAACTGGAAAAAAACAGACGAACAGAATGAAAAAAAAAATCAATAAAATCTATAAAAAATACCAGGTTGAAGAATATTACCGTAAAAACTCTAGAATTTCGTCCTGTTTTAAATAATTGGTGTTGAAGATCTGACATGTTTTTAGAGTGCAAAATTAGGGTGCATTTTCGAATGGTCAAATTTTTCAGAATAGAAATCGGCAAATGAAAAAAATGGGGACGATAGACAGTGTGCTTCGTTAGTTTTTAAAAAATGGAATGTCCGTCAAATTGACTTAACCTTCCCCATGTTTCACGGTAAAAGCAAAGGTCGTGGCCGAATTGTAGGCTAAACAACTCAAAATCAAAACAAAGTCATCAATCAGTAAGTATTATGACGAGGAAAACAAAATATCAAGACGGAGAAGAGGTCAGCACAAAACTAATAGGTCAAAATAATTTAGCTGTCTCACGTACACCACCTAGGAATACTTGCGAATGTTCGTAGTACAGGTTCCCATTGGACAAAAGATACATGGAAGTTTAGCAGCTGGGACAGTTTGTATTTCCCCGATCCAGTGCAATATGTCCGGTTAGAATCAAAGCCCACGTGTCCCTTATTTCAGGGACCAGATTCTGCCGCAAATTCGCCCTGGGCCGTTAAATGGCAGTTTGGATTAAAAAAATAAAATGGTATTTAAAAAAATTAAATGGGACTTTTAAGGTGTATTTCGGACATTTCAATCATTCCTGACGCCTAAAATAGTCTAAGTTTTACCGTAGTCATTGACGCCTATTCAAGAGTATGATGTATATTTTGACTAGCGTGAATGGGTAAGCTTTGTTTGGACATTGAGCTGTTATCACTGTACCCCAGGCGCTGGAAGTTGTAATGTTCCACCTGCCAGGTAGGATAATGCTACACAAACAACACTCCAGTCTGACTGCTATTGTAACTGATTAAACTAATTAAATGCATGCGACCTTTGCACTTTGAACAATAGCCAATCACGCGCGACTCTTGACATAGTTGTTAATAAACAACTGAATATATTAACCATGGAACTATAAACCCCAGGAAGAACAACGAAACTAAGAGGATTAAAAAAACCTTTGTCTTAGTTTATCTTACAGTGCTTTCGCTTTTGTTTCCATGACATTAGTCATACTCCATGTTAGTTGCCGCCGATACGCCCGTTTCAACCGCTTTGCTGGAAACGGAAAACTTGAAAAAAAAATTTCATATCTGCGCAGTAAAATATTTCGTTCACTACGCATGCGCAAACAAGTCGGTCTGCAGGGTGACCTTCAGTGTACCGGAAATCATGCAACGGGTCGGAGTTTTAGCGAGTTTTCATAATTTTTAATGTCGTTTTTAGATTACTTCTTGTTTTTTTCAACCCTCGAAAAAATAAGGTTGCGAAAGTTTGCGAAACATGGGGTTTGGTGAGCTGTTTGTTGTTGAGATATCCCGACTAATTCCGTGTTTCCCTTCGATCGCCAGAAGTGGCAATGTGTTTTTTTTTCCCGTTGAATGTCGATCATTTATCAGTGTTTTTGTCTTGGCGCCATTGTTTTTTTATGCTATAACCGGAACAACTCGGTCACGTGATCTCCCGGAGTTGTCCGATTGACTCCGAAAATGACCGATAGTCGGAGATAAACGTTCATTTGCGTAAATCGGCTTATTTTTTAATGCGACAAAATAAACAGTCAAAATAAACATTCGACATCGCGGCAACTATCATAGTTCAAAGGAAACGAAGTGGTTGTTCTTCCTGGGGTTTATAGTTCCATGTATTAACTAACCATATATGGGAGACGGCGGGTAAAATCAACGTTGATAATGTTAGTGTCTTTATCCCAGTTTCTCCAGCGCTGTCGTCGATCGTAAGTGGTTGAGTTCATTTGAGAGTTATTTTTGTCGTAGTTCGTGTCGTACGGTTTTCTACCACGATCTGGATTTAGTTCATCGACAAACTCGTTTGAGGTTTCTCGTGTCAGACTGGAGTTGTAACATGTTTCAATATAACTATTGTGTATTGCAGTTCATGACATAAATGCTAGAATGTTGTATGTAAATTATATGCAAATTAATATGCTAATTTATGCCTATTAGACCACCCACCAGCTATTTTGGATTGTGGAGAACACTGTTGTTGAAACCGCTACAAAAATGTGCTGAAAAACGAAAAATTACAAGAACTTAACAAGAAATTATCTGATTTTCAAAATTCCAACTTTCCTGTACTCACAAACGCGATTCCTGTAAGTACAAAAGGTATTCACATGCCTTCATGCCCTTCAGCATTTACTGCGACACTGTAAAACTAGACCTTGGAGTGTGTATTATACGCAGCAACATTTGAGAGTAAATGACACGTCGGTGGCAGTCCTGGGGTGAAAGGATGTTTAAAACAAAGCGAATTATAGGATTAAACTTGACTAAAACAAAAGAAGTTTAAGACGATTATTTTGGCTGTGATATTCGTTTTTCACCTCCATGGATAACAGAACCTCACATTGTTTTTTCATAATTTGTCAGTAGACAATGATTGCTGCTAGCGGTTTGTGCTTTGTACAGTTACAGTTTTACAGTAACCATTCATGACTTCATGGCACAAACTATTAATATAACCGGATAATAGAAAATATGGTTAGAATTTTATATTTTTTTTACATTCATAAATTCATCCAATCTGATTAAAATCTGATGTAGTGTACGGGCTTTAATTATTTTGGCTTTAAACTTATTTTAATTTTATA